ATGCACAACAACAAACTATGATAAGCAAAAGGTAGCCAGGTTGTACTGCTGTGCACTCAACTGGTCTCACGGGGGGAGGTAATGGTATAAATTCTTGTTGGAAGGTCTATCCGTAGACAATTGAGAACAGTCAGCCTCCATGTTCCTTGTGTGAGCTGCTAAATGTTCTGAACCACTATTATCATGCAGCAGCAGCTCTTGGGCTAAATTTAAATTGAAATGAGAGAGAGAGAGAGAGAGAGGATGACGATGATGAGGCGACCATGGTGATAACAAAAAGGATGACAATTAAGACAACAACACATGCAACAAAGGAATGACCTATGGAAGAAAAAGCAAAAATTGTTGAACTGAACCACAAAGCAGGAAAATACGTGAAGACATTCAACAAAGTCTAAGAGCAACAAACCTTATGGATCCCACCAAAAAAAAAAAAAAAAAAAAAAAAGGGTGCCACGCAGTACCATTATATGGAGAGGATAACTAGAAGTCAAGTGAGCTACCATCTAGTTCCTTTTCTTCCACCTCAGCCAAGCCTGAGCCGAGAAGGAAGAAGCATTCTTCATGCCCTTGCTGGACCAAGATCTTCTTTAGGGCTTCCTCACTTTTCTCGGCTAGTTCTTTGCCGACATCCTCAAGGACCTCCATGTCCTCATCTTCAATCTCTGCTGCTTCTGCTTCTCGTATGTTGCAGGTGGATTTCATTTCTTCCATGGAGTAATTCTTTTCCTGCACTTGATCCTCTATGACCTCTTCAATTCCATGCTCTGTTGAGAATCCCAACAGCTGGTGCAATGTTGAGGGAACAACCCCCATTGCATGCAGCCATGGTCTTCCCAGGATAGCATTGTAAGGGGAAGGAGTGTCAATTACTGTGAACTCAGTTGTTACCTTTTTGGTGCCAGCCTGCACCTCCAAACTTACTGTTCCCAGTGGCCACGTCGGCGTTTCATTGAACCCGACCATTGAACTATTGGATTGTTCCAGATCATCTTGGTGAAGGCCAAGCTCCTTGTAACACCTGACATACATGATGTCACAAGAGCTGCCCTGGTCGATCAGAATTTGCTTTACCTGACACTCTCCAACCTGGAGAGATATTACCAAGGCATCGTTGTGTGGATGCTGCACTATCTCTTGGTCATCTTCAGTAAAGGACACCACTGGTCCCTGGCACTCGTCTGCCCTAGGTCTCTTCTGTTGGACTTGATACACATGTTGTAGGTGTTTTACCTTCTGAGTTTCCTCCTGTATCTCGTTTTCATTCACCTTTGAGTGAATTACATTGATCACTCAAGGTCCGTCTGCTTGTGGTTGTGGTATTGGCGAGGGTGGTGCTGTTGGTGCCTGAGGTAATCTCACTTGCTCTTCCCTCGTCCTGGTCTCATCTACCTGTTCTCTTAAATAACCCTGTCTTATCAGGTCTTCCAGAGCCCTAAAGGCACATCTGGAAGACCTGGTAAGACAGGGTTATTTAAGAGTTAGGGCTCTGCACCCTTGAGTTAGATGTCCATCCTCGTTGTGGTAGGCACAGTGTTTCCCTAGACTTCTTCTCATAAATTCACCAGGAAGCTTCTTTGGTGCTCTATAATAGGGCTGATTCCGGATTCTTTCAAAGACTTTGTAGACCGGAATTCGGAATACGGTTGTGACTGTCTATGTAGCCCTCAATCCTGTTTCTTACTTATTGTATCCACTATTACCTCGGCTTCGCTTTGGCGAGCCGTTTCTCTTCTCTTGTTTCGACGCCTTTGTTCCTGGCGTGTCCTTATCAGCTCTCACATACTTCTCTATCCTGGCCATAAGTTCTTCTATGCTTTTTGGTAGTGTCTTTTGCCGGTGATTTTCGAAGCAGACAATCATCTTTCAGGCCGTTCTTAAAAGACACGACCGCTATCTCTTGGTTACATCCTGGTATTCGGTTGAACACCTCATAATACCTTTTGGCATAGGCCCTAAGGCGTTCATCTTCTCCAATTCTCAGAGCTATTAGGGAGTCTACCCTCAACGGCTGTAGTTTGTTTGTTACAAACCTAGCCACGAACATCTCAGCTAGGCCTTCCCAGCTTTTCACAGTTTTTTTCGGCAATTTGTGAAACCAGTCTAATGGAATTTCCCCAAAGGATGAGGGAAACACCTTGCAAGGCAACGGCTCGTTCCCGGTGTATAATGCCATTGAGTTCAAGTACAAGCCGACATGAAAGTTAGGGTCCGACTTATCATCATATATCTAGAATCTCGGCATATTAAACCTCTTCGGAGCTTCAAATTTGTCCAGTTCTAGGTGTTCTCGGCTTGACCGGAGAGGTTATCTCGGCATCTTGTCGCTTCCTCTAGAAGTAATCCCTCAAATCCTCCTTGGTTCATCCAGGAGCTCTGCTATCTCCGGATTTCAGCCTTTTCGGTACGCTACTTCCAGTGTCATTGTTAGTCCTCTTGGACCTCTCTCCGTTAGTTGCATCGAAACAAAGTTCCTTCCCTTGAACATGCCGATATTCTTTGGGATCAACTTCTTTGGTATGATGCGTCCTTCTAGAATCTCCCTTCATTGACTCTCCTCGCTCGACCTCTCTTGAAGGCCAGTGAGAGTGTTCCTTGGTCCTGGTGTGCCGGGGGACTGCAGGAATTGCTTTTTGCCCCTCTTTCTGGGCATCTTTTTCCCCCCATTTCTGGGCATCTTTTTTGGCCATTGGAATCGGTGTGTCTTGTAATGGAAACGGTGGCTGTATGACGTTGTTCTGCATCATGAAATTGATGACCGATTGTAGGTCTGCCAATTTGTTCGCCATCCCCTTCATCTCGCCGTCCCTCTGCGGGCACCTATCTTTCTATACCTGGAGGTCATCCTCATTATAGTACCCGCCTCGGTTTGATTTCTTTGGTACGTCGCCCTCCTGGCCGACGTCTTTCTCTCTGGGATTCCGATCCCAAGTTTCCTTGTTGCAGTTATCCTCCTCTACATTAGGGTCAATGTGCTTACCACTCCTAGTAGGGATGTCGTCCCCAACCTTTTCTTTTTGTCCGTTATTGGCCATCTATTCTCCTTTCGTTCTCACAAACAGCGCCAAATTGTGTGTGCTGTTTTCTGACTACACTGCCAAACAGGTACTCAACTAGAGAACACTGGCAGAATAGATTGCGCCCAAACGACCTGTCACATAAAGAAAAAGACTCCGGCGGTGGTTCGTCCACCCAATGGCACTCCGACGATCAAGTCAGTTATTTCTCAAAGATAGCAAATGTACTTAACTCACTATTCAGAATACAAAAAGGGTACCTTAGACCCACGAGGGTGCCTCTCTTTTGTAGCCAATACTAACCTGGTCCCTGTAGAAGCCTAGCTCCTCGGCGTCAAGTTAAGGACACGTGGCACCTTGGCTGGCACTTCGGTGCCACCTTGGCCGCGTGTTGCTAGCCAAAAAATATGTTCCCACAAATAATAATAATTATGTTTATAAAGTTTATTGTGCCATTGAAAAAAATTAAAAAATAATAATAAACAAACAAACATGCAGGACAACAACAAAATTGTTTGGATGATTTATTTTTTGGAGAGAGGCTTCTCTGGAGCATACTGTTGGGCCTGTGGGGTCTATCATGGATCTCGTTTCGATAATCCAAACATTTTAATGTGTAGAACTTATCTAGTACTTTATGCTTGAAAAAAATAACGTTGATCTGATATTGGTAGCCCCTTGATCGGATCACATTTTTGTTAATGATTTATTTTTAAAATCATATTTATCATTGATAAAAATGTGTACCGATCAAGGGGCTAATGATATCCAATCAACGTAATTTTTTGCAAACATAAAGTACTCGACGAGTTTTACACATTGAACGGTTCAGATGATCGAAAAGTGACCCATGGTGGGCTCCACGAGCCCAACAATATGTAGACTAGAGAGAAGCCATCTCCTACTTTTTTCTCCGATCTGGTCTTTTGCCTTTCAATCTGAGGTTTTCTACCATTCAGACTTCCACCGTTTCAGTGGATTGTATATCTGAGGCCAATGCCAGAGTTGTTTGCCGATCCTACGCTACCAGTTGTGCAAATCTAATTTTTTAAAAATATTTTTTTTAGTGTTTTTGTATTTTGTTTTATTATTTTTTCCCTCCTCTGTGGAGGCTTTTCTTTCTCTTCCAAGGAGATTTGGGTTTGTCTTTGTTGTTGGTGGGCAGTATGTTGCAGGTATGGTTGTTGGTTGGTGCCTGCAGTATGTTGTGGTTATGGTTGTTGGGTGATGGTCACAGTATGTTACAAGCTATGATTGTTGAGTGTTCGAGTGTTGCAGAATATGGTTGTTGAGTGTTCGAGTGTTCAAGTTTGAAACACTGAACCTTGGTTGTAATTTATTTTAGAATTTGAAATTATCATTGTTGATGTATTTGTTTCTGTTTATCAATAAAATTTAACTTTAAAAAAATAAAATATAAAAAATTAATTGCAAAAAGGAATTTTTTTAACTTTTTTAAGTAGGTAATTATTTTAGTCTGTGTGGCTGCAACAAATGACATAGTGAAAAATTTACCGAATGAGACAATGTTAACGTTAGAAAATAAAAGGACAAAGGATGATTTGTGCTATAAGATTAGTCATTTGTCAAGGAAATATTAGATTGTAGTTTGAATTGAAATTACTCAACAATTAATTAATATAATTGGAGTTTCCTTAAAAAAATAATAAAAAATAAAAAGTAGGTGGATTTCACGAAGGGTGAGACAAAACGTTGGTAAATGGACGCGTTCACAGGTGGTGTTTGGAAAGTTGGGTTTGAGATTTTTTTTTGATTTTTTTTTAATATTAGAGAAAAATTTTACAAAATTAAAAAAAATAAATACAAATAAAATATCATATTCAATTTCATAATCATTTTACTTTTTCTCTTATAAATATTTAATCATAAAAAAATTCAATTATCTTTTTAAATACAAAAAAAAAATTTCTCAAATAATAACCTACAATTAAAAAAATCTATATAAAAATCCACTCCAAACACCAACACACTTAGATATCGAGAAGATGGCTGGCTGGTGGTGGTAGTAGAACTGCGTAGGTTCGTTCATTTGAGGTCAGCTCAGAAATGTAGAAAGTCGTGGCCTTCAAGGAAAATAATAAAACTCAAACTCAACTCAAAACCCAGCACACCAATCGAGTGAACACCTCCTTTAAAGTGAGTTGGGTCTATAAATATTTGCAGAACAGAGAAATCCCAGACCCTGATATCCCCAACTCCCCAAAACAAGAAAGAAGAAGAAGAAGAAGAAGAAGAAGAAGAAGAAGGGCTGTTAGTTGTTACGAGGTAAGTAAAATTGGATATAAAGAGTGGTTGTTATGGTTTTGAATGATAAAAAAGTGATTGCAAATGATGATTTTGGACTGACAAATAAATCTCATTCCTTAAATTTATGATTCCCCACATACACATATACACATCCTTGATTAGCACTAGTCCTCTTTTGATTCATCAAAATGAAACCAGTCATCATACTTGATTATCCCTTATTGTTTTGATTTTTACAAGTTCAACTGACCACTCTTTGTTGTTTGAACCAACTGTTTGATCTCTACTCCTAACTCATAATCTCCACCAGATTTTTTGTTTTAGATTATTAATCCATTGTTTGCTTTTTCTCTTGATCAGTATTTTTTTTTAGGGCAAATTACATATACCCCTCGAGGTTTAGCAAAATTAAGATACTTGAGGTTTGAGAAATTACAGATCACTGAAGTTACTATTTGCATAACAAATTAGGGGACAAATTGTTATGAAAATATAAATATCAGGTATCTGTAATTTTTGAAACCTCAGCTATATGTAATTTAGCTAAATCTCGAGAGAAGTATATGTAATTTGCCTTTTTTTTTAAAATTTATTTATTATTGGGTGGTATATATATAGATCAGTATTTTGTTTTGGGCTTTTATTGATTTTTCATCTCTGTTCCCCCCTTGGGTGGTGGTTGTATATGTTAATCAGGTTGGAAAAAAAAGGAAATGATAGTGAATTTGCTTGATTTCAATCCATCAAGAAATTTGTTTTTACTCAAAAAAAAAATATTAGGGATCATAAAAAAAAAAAATTCATAAAATGCATCATAAAGATTTTTTATCCTTTAATTAGGTTGTAGTGTTTTATTATATGCGATCTAAAGATAAAAAATCTTTAATGATATTTTCTTCATCATCCCCGGCATAACTCTTGCTCAAATTAGGAAAAAGATCCGGACTCCCACTGGGGGTCACCTCCACGACTCCACTGGCCTGTGATTAGCCCAGTTTTTTTTAATTTTTTTTTCCAATCACCAACCCCACATGTGTGTGGGGGTGATGGGGGCAGGGGGTTGAGGGGTCTCACTCACTTCCGCTCAAATTATAATGGCTGAGTTTTCTTTCTTGGAAAATGATGTTCTCACCGAATTAGAAACCGAAGATGACTGAGTCGCAGTTTGGGGTTTAACTGTTTTTTAGTAGTTTTTTGGCTTTAATGTGAGGGTATGTTGGTCTTTTACACTGGTATTAGTCAGTTTCTTTTTTGTTTTTTTCTGTTTTTTTGGACCTTTTTAGCAAAAAAACTATATCCTAAACCAGGCCTAAGGTGATTCATTTTAATTGCCTGATTGATGCTTGATGCCCACAAGCTTTGAACATAACAGAATCTATCACCGTACTCGGTTTGAGCAGCAGTTGTTTTTTTTTTTTTTTTCATTTTTTTTTTTTTTTTTTTTTTTCAACCTAGTTGTTTAAAAAATAAATACCAGAAACAGACCTGCCTGGTCAATCATATAAATGTATTTTTATTTTATTTTGTTCAAAATAAATTGTTTGCACTGATTGCTAGCTACTGATTGCCATATATAGGTTCAAGATCTGCCCATTACCCACCCAGTTAATTTCCCTTCCAACTATTGTTGTTGTTATGTTACTACTCTTTTTAAGATTTATTGTTATTGTCTACATTTATCTGTCCACTGATTGGACTTTCTTTTTCCATAAGTGATTGAGACGACTAAAAAACACACCATTAAAAAGTTCTAATGAGCTGAAACATATATTTAAAAAAAAAGAAAAAAAAAGAAAAATAAAAAGACAACCATCACATCAAGGGGAGCCACCTCATTAGTGCTCCCCTTAATGCTCCCTTTTTAGTACTCCCAAGCATTAATTTTCTTTTTCCAGCTATAAGCTCATAATTTGCTAATCTTGGATATAAATTCAGAGGTAAGTGCGTGCAGACAAACAATAACAGACTTGGAAGTTGGGTAAGTAAATATGGCCGAGGAGAATGGCATGGACAGTAACATGAAGAGGCATGAGACTCAGGCGGAGGCCACAACATCAAAAAGCCTAGCACTTGAAACAGAGGCGGGAACAAGTAGCTCTGGAACAAATGGCACGAAGAAGACCAAGGAAAAGGAGGGCACCAAAACGGTTCCATTTTACAAGCTGTTCACTTTTGCAGAACCCTTAGATGTTGTCTTGATGATAATGGGTACAATTGGTGCCATTGGGAATGGTATTAGCATGCCCCTTATGACCGTAATTTTTGGGGAATTGGTTAATTCTTTTGGACAAAACCAAGCCAACAATGATATCGTTAAGGTTGTTTCTAAGGTAAAATAAATCACCCAAAGATTATATAAGCTTAGTTTTTTTTTTGTCCCCTGGATTTTTCTTCATTTTGTATTTTTGGAAATATCTCAGTTCTCTCTCTTTTCTTCTGATATATAAGTTGGAATGAAAAAATAAATAACAAATCATTTAATTAGTTGCCTGGTTACGTTTTAGGTATCACTGAAATTTGTCTATTTGGCTATTGGGGCTGGTGCGGCAGCATTCCTCCGTAAGTGGATCCAACCTAGCTATAATTTCTTGTATTTAATTAGTTTTGAATGATTAGCTAACACCGATAAATTCGAATTAGTATATAACAATCGTAGTGTTGTTTTTTTGATGTGGTTAGAGGTGTCTTGCTGGATGGTAACGGGAGAGCGACAAGCTGGAAGAATTAGGGGCCTTTATCTGAAAACTATATTAAGACAAGATATCGGTTTCTTTGATAAGGAAACGAATACTGGAGAAGTTGTTGGGCGGATGTCAGGTGACACTGTTCTCATTCAAGACTCTATGGGTGAGAAGGTATGTACCATCCACGATCCATCCATCTATTCCCAACAGCAAACATAGACAAGCAGATCATCATTATAAATATTTATGTTTCTACACTACACTACACTTTGTCATATCCCTAGCTAAGCTAATCTACCTATACATATATGATCTTAATTAATTTTGTTTTGATGAATTGAATGGTGTAGGTTGGGAAATTTATACAGCTGCTGTCAACATTTTTGGGAGGCTTTGTGATAGCATTCGTGAAGGGGTGGCTTCTTACATTGGTCCTGTTGGCCCCTCTTCCTGTGCTTGCAATAGCAGGTGGAGCCATGGCCCTTGTCATATCCAGAATGGCATCCTACGGACAAAATGCTTATGCTAAAGCAGCAACTATAGTTGAACAGACTATCGGCTCAATTAGAACAGTATGCAAACTAATCCACAAGTAAACCGTGCCTAGCAGCTGTGGATTGATAAACTTCGACCATGTCTTTATTTTATGATAGATTCTACTGCTATTTAATTTTCTTATATTTCTTGATTTGAGTATATATATGTGTTCAACATTAATTTATGTTTCCTATGTGTAGGTTGCATCATTTACCGGGGAGAAGCAAGCTGTGGTTAATTACAACAAATCTCTTCTAGATGCTTATAAGTCGGGTATTCAAGAAGGCTTGGCTACTGGATTGGGTTTTGGATCAGTTATGTTTATCATGTTCGGCACTTATGCTTTGGCTGTATGGTTTGGTGGAAAGATGATATTAGATAAGGGATATAGCGGAGGTTCAGTGATTAATGTAATTATAGCTGTCTTGGTTGGTTCCATGTGAGTGCACGCCACTTTTAAACCTTACCCCCCCCCCCCAATTGTTAGCTTCTTAAACTACATATATCTGCAACCTACACAATTAGTTATATTATTTCCATGGTAATTTGTACACCCCTGTAAAAGCCAATTAAAAGTTAAAACCCCTTGAGTTTATTAGCTCTAAAAACGAAACTAAATCATCATGTACTTCTAAATTTCGTAATTTATAAGGTTTTGGTATAATATATAAATATACATGGCTGTTTCAAATTCAGGTCTCTTGGGCAGGCATCTCCTTGCATGAGCGCATTTGCCGCAGGTCAAGCTGCAGCATACAAGATGTTTGAAACTATAAAAAGGAAGCCAGTGATAGATGCATCTGAAACCAGTGGAAAAATACTAGATGACATTCGTGGTGATATAGAGTTAAGGGATGTTCATTTTAGTTATCCAGCCAGACCAGATGAGCAAATATTCAGTGGATTCTCACTTTCCATCCCTAGTGGCACAACAGCGGCTTTAGTTGGACAAAGTGGAAGTGGAAAGTCAACAGTGATCAGTCTGATAGAGCGATTTTATGATCCACAAGCCGGTGAAGTTCTTATAGATGGTGTTAATCTTAAAGAGTTCCAGCTAAAGTGGATTAGGAATAAAATTGGTCTTGTAAGCCAAGAGCCTGTGCTGTTTACATGCAGCATCAAGGACAATATTGCCTATGGGAAGGATGGTGCATCTATAGAAGAGATTAAATCAGCAGCTGAGCAAGCCAATGCTGCTAAATTCATCGATAAACTGCCTCAGGTTCTTCCTTACCTTTGATTATTAATTATTTGTCATTTTTGTTGTTACTCTTTAATTTTTATATTAATTCCATTCTTACTTTCATGAGCATGCATGCATTCGTGTTTTAAATATTCTTTTTATCTTACCATCACATGCCTTAAAATTTTCGATTTAGGGACTGGACACCATGGTGGGTGAGCATGGAACTCAACTGTCTGGTGGACAGAAGCAGAGAGTTGCCATAGCCAGAGCAATTCTAAAAGACCCACGAATTCTACTCTTGGATGAAGCAACAAGTGCACTTGATGCAGAGTCGGAGAGGGTAGTGCAAGAGGCACTGGACAGGATTATGGTCAACAGAACAACTGTCATTGTTGCCCATCGTTTGAGCACAGTTAGGAATGCTGACATGATTGCAGTGATTCAACGAGGAAAGATAGTTGAAAAAGGTATATCTTATGAAAAGCCTTGGCCTTGCTAATCACTTTACAAATTAATGAGTAGTAAAGCAAACATCATAAATACCTATTTGATAAAACATATGTTGCTTCTTTCATGCTTCCTTCCTCCTCACTCTCTGAATTTCGAGAAAAATTCCCAAATAACCTTGAATAATTATGATGAAAACATATGCTTCTTGTTCTATGTATTTAATTTCTTTACCTTATCCATGAGGTTTTCCTGACAATTCTCAAAGTTTGGGAATTTCCAGGATGCTATTTAGGTTCTGAATCCCAAATTCTTCTTCTTCATTTGTTTTTTTGAATATATTACATAAGCCATAGTTATGATAAAGAATGTATGCTGAGTTTAGTGTTGTATGTTTTAATCAATCAGGCTCACACTCGGAACTACTCAAGGATCCAGAAGGAGCATTCTCTCAGCTTATACGATTGCAAGAAGTGAACAAATATTCTGAACAAGCTGCAGACCAAGACAAATCAGGATCTATGAGTGAATGGGGACGACAATCAAGTCAACGCATGTCATTGTTACGATCCATAAGTCGTGGATCATCTGGGGTAGGGAATAGCAGCCGCCACCTCTCAGCTGCATTTGGTCTACCTACAGGACTCAATGTTCCTGAAACTGCATTGACGGAAGCTGAAGCCTCTGACCTAGACCCTTCAGCAAAGCCTCCAAAAGTCTCATTGCGCAGACTTGCCTATCTCAACAAGCCAGAGGTTCCAGTGCTGATAGTAGGATCTATAGCTGCAATTATTAATGGCTGTATACTTCCATTTTTTGGTCTACTGCTTTCAAGTGTGATCAAAGCATTTTTTGAGCCAGCGCATGAACTAAGGAAACATACACAATTTTGGGCACTCATCTTTGTTGTCCTAGGAGTGGCAGCATTGTTGGCATTTCCAGCACGGACATACTTTTTTTCGGTGGCTGGTTGTAAGTTGATAAGAAGAATCAGATCAATGTGCTTTGAGAAGGTGGTTCACATGGAGGTTAGTTGGTTTGATGAGCCCAGGAACTCAAGTGGAGTGATTGGATCAAGGCTCTCTGCAGATGCAGCTAGTGTGCGAGCATTAGTTGGAGATGCACTTGCTCAGGTTGTTCAAGATTCTGCATCAGCAGTTGCAGGGTTGGTCATTGCTTTTCAAGCAAGTTGGCAGCTTGCACTAATTATCCTTGCTTTGTTACCTCTATTAGGATTGAGTGGTTTTGTTCAACTTAAGTTCATGCAAGGGTTCAGTGCAGATGCAAAGGTTTGCTTTCAAAACACTTCATCATACATTTCATGGTTGCAACATTCCACAATTTTATTCTGATTTGAAAGAACGAAAAAATTATGTTTGTGTTTGGATCTTAGACTGGTGGAGGGACAAAAATGAAAAAGAGGGAAAAGTAGAATTAGCTTCTACTTCATTTCTTTTTCCTTTTCTTTACTTCACAAATGCACGATTTTAAACACAACCTATGAGTTTTTGTTTCCTAATAATTATTTTTATTAAGATTTGGAGGTAAATGGGTGCAGGTGATGTATGAGGACGCGAGCCAAGTTGCGAATGATGCAGTTGGAAGCATAAGAACAGTTGCTTCATTCTGTGCGGAAGAGAAAGTGATGGAACTATACAGAGAGAAATGTGAAGGGCCTTTGAAGAACGGGATAAGGCAAGGTTTGATCAGTGGGGTGGGTTTCGGAGTGTCATTTGCCTTGCTATTTTTGGTCTATGCAACTAGTTTCTATGCTGGAGCACGGCTAACAGAGGCTGGCAAAACAACATTCTCAGATGTTTTCCGTGTGAGTATATATATACTATATATACACAAGACAATTCCATAAATTTTTATCCAAAAAGCTAAACATCAAGAAATGCTAGTTTTGATTCAATTATTTGCGCCTCGCTCTTGCAGGTTTTCTTTGCTCTCACCTTGGCAGCCGTTGGAATTTCTCAATCAAGTTCCTTAGCTCCCAATTCTACTAAAGCCAAGTCTGCAGCTGCTTCCGTATTTTCCATGCTGGACCGAAAATCAAAGATGGATCCCAGTGACGAATCCGGGACGACTTTAGAGAATGTAAGGGGAGAAATTGAGCTTCGACATATTAGTTTCAAATATCCAACTAGGCCAGATATTCAGATTTTCAGTGACCTTAGTTTGACTATTGATAGTGGCAAGGTAAAATTCTACCTTTTCTTTTGACTATTTGTATTGTCATCGAACATATAAGTTAGTGTGTTTCATCTTTCAACTACAAAAATTGAATTGTATGTGAATCTCAATTTTCCAGACGGTAGCTCTGGTGGGAGAAAGCGGAAGCGGGAAATCAACAGTGATTGCATTGTTGCAGAGATTTTACGATCCTGATTCAGGTCATATTACCCTGGATGGAACTGAGATTCAGAGTTTGCAATTGAAGTGGCTGAGGCAGCAGATGGGTCTGGTTAGCCAAGAACCAGTCCTGTTTAACGACACAATACGTGCCAACATTGCATATGGAAGGGAAGGACATGCAACGGAGGCTGAAATTTTAGCTGCGTCAGAGTTGGCAAATGCCCACAAGTTCATTAGCGGTTTGCAACAGGTTAGATAAGCATATGGAATAAATAATTTTCATCATATGTTGTTATTTTTGGCTAGCATTTAGTATATTCATTTGGGCATTTATTATTATTATTATTATTATTATTATTTGGATTAAATTGCAGGGGTATGATACCATAGTAGGAGAGAGAGGAGTGCAACTGTCAGGGGGACAGAAGCAGCGGGTGGCCATTGCTCGTGCCATAGTGAAAAGTCCCAAAATACTACTGCTAGATGAGGCTACAAGTGCGCTAGATGCAGAGTCAGAGAGAGTGGTTCAAGATGCATTGGACAGAGTCATGGTGAACAGGACTACGGTGGTGGTGGCACATAGATTGTCCACAATCAAGAATGCAGATGTTATAGCAGTGGTTAAGAATGGTACTATCGTAGAGAAGGGAAAGCATGACAATCTGATTAAGATCAAAGATGGTGCCTATGCCTCCTTGGTTGCGCTTCACATGAGCGCCCCATCCTAAACGTCTGTTTGTGTCCGTCTTTCTTTGCCTTCCGTTTTTTCTTTTTTCTTTTTAAGACAGCTTTAGCTCTTTGAATGAGTACTGAATTTGTTTCTAAAGGATGAATAACAAGAGCTGAAAGAAAATGTGTAAATTAATTTCTCGATAAGCTTGTGGTCATGGATGAATTCTTCTACTTTTTTACATGTTAATTGTGCAATTTATTATATGTGCCCGAGTGTTTTTACATAGCAGACAACATAACTAGTACTTTCACAACACATCAGAATTGCTCAAGATTTCATAAGCAGCAAAACAATTTTTACAATCAACACAAAAACAAAACAAGGTTATATCTTCTATGTGCCCAACAGCCAAACTTCCACAAAGAAATCAATGCCTCAGAACTAACAAATCATACAGAAAAAGGAGCAAGTAAATTTGAATTTAGTAGAAACTAGTTGAATTGCTCAAAGAATACAAATGCCAATAGGCTTATTGCATAAGCAACTACAAAAGATAGATCAAAACAGGGCCAAACATATTAGTAAGTCAGCTTCTACTCATTAGAGATCCATAAGGGTACCTTTTACACGTCCCGAGTGAGTACATACAACATCTCCACTTACTATTCAGCATGTTGCCCGAAATTCCAACGCGAACTGGGACAAGCTACAGGCACCCAAAGTAGAAGAACAGATCATGACAATCTACAGAAGACAGCTCCAGATGTTTCAATCCAGCTGCCTAGAAAGAACCAAATAGGTAGTCATGAATCATGATGAGGAAATACTTCAATAGGATCGGTTTTAGCAATTCTACCGTTTCAAAGATCAACTACCAAGACATGATTGAAACTTAAGTGTTCAGTATCATAACATATGCACCATAGTTGGAGTACTGGGAGGCTCATGCAAAACACATGAGTATACATCAAACGTTGTCAAAAGGGTGAACTGCAAGGTTTTTGTATCACACATATAGACAATTGAATTTAAGTCAAACAGCTAAGGATACCAAGTATAATTCCAGTTGGATGGAAAGATAGTTCCTCGCCTTGATATGTGCATGACTGTAACAGAAATGTAACAAAGGATAAAATACAAGAATACGTTTCATAATCGGCGGATTTTTCAGGAGGTGGATGATTTTGTGGCTTGCATGAACAATAGGCTTTTGGTGATCTTGTATAGTTGGGTTTCGGAAAGGGATTTGTTTTCTTTTGTAGATTTTATAGATTCCCTTCTCGTTTAGGTTTAGGTTTTGGTTTTTTTGTTGACTCTTGTCATTTGTGTTTGTTTGCATCGTCTTGATGCTTTTTTCACTAATAATATTGATTTTTACTTATCGAAAAATAAAATAAAATAAATAAAATAAAAAAGAATACCAAGTTCTTAAAATCTGAACAGTGAGGGTCCTAATAGGTTCATTAATACATAGGCACAAAAGGAAATTAAACCCACTATACTTCCTTAAAGCCCTTTACATGATGATACTAAACTGAGAAGTATCAATGTCAGTTTGTGGATGGAGTATTTGTGTCACCTAGGTTGTCTTCCATCAGAAACCTTTCCCAACAAGTTACAGCATTTTATCAACCACCAAGATTTACCGAATTCTGAGATCACCAGCGGATATGGAAGAATAACAATTCATTAATGGGTGAACATGACCATCCATTCTCATGGAGCCAGACAATCTCAATCTGAAAACATCATCCACAATGTCACTAATTATCCTCAGTTTCTCATGCTTTCTAATTTCTCCCATATTTCTCAAATACGGTCACGTCTCATAACTAATAACTCCAAATGAAGAGAAACAGCTTAACAGAATTTAAACCATACAGAAATATGGTGTTGATGCAAATATATGATTTAGGAATACCACTCAACCATTTAAAATGGGAGAACTTCTCCACGAATATGCACAACAACAAACTATGATAAGCAAAAGGTAGCCAGGTTGCACTGCTGTGCACTCAACTGGTCTCACGGGGGGAGGTAATGGTATAAATTTTTGTTGGAAGGTCTATCCGTAGACAATTGAGAACAGTCAGCCTCCATGTTCCTTGTGTGAGCCACTAAATGTTCTAAACCACTATTATCATGCAGCAGCAGCTCTTGGGGCTAAATTTAAATTGAAATGAGAGAGAGAGAGAGAGAGAGAGAGAGAGAGGATGACGATGATGAGGCGACCATGGTGATAACAAGAAGGATGACAATTAAGACGACAACACATGCAACAAAGGAATGACCTATTGAAGAAAAAGAAAAAATTGTTGAACTGAACCACAAAGCAGGAAAACAAGTGAAGACATTCAACAAAGTCTAAGAGCAGCAAACCTATGGATCCCACTAAAAAAAAAAAAAAAACTAAGGGTGCCACGCAGTACCATTATATGCAGAGGATAACTAGAAGTCAAGTGAGCTACCATCTATTTGTTTTGTGCAACACTGCAAGATTTTATACCAAATAAGCATAAAGGATGTGTAAAGAAACTGGCAACAAGTTAGAATGTAATACTCAATTTCATTTCGAGGACTCTAAATTAAGCAACACATCATGTTCCTGTTTTATATGATAATGTTCCATGGATTTGCTGTTCCCCCAAGGTTGATCACCAAGGGGTTAGAGCCTTAATTATGCTTACAGGTGTCAAAATAAATGGGACAACTTAACAAATGGCAATACTAATACAATACCACAATTTGAACAAAACGTGAATGTGAGCATATGTCATGATATAATCTACTTCCCATCGATTATCTTAATATGATATTACATACTCATATGTGTGATTTGAGAGTCTCTGATTGTAAGGAGGTCATGTTATTCTTTTAAAGGCTTTGGCAAACTTGCTCATGCAAAGCGTAGAACCATATGCATAGAAGTGAATGGAATGCATTTATCCCAGATATTATTACCTTGTTATGGAAAGAGTTCGATCCTAAGACATGATGCATTCCTCTTTTCATTTTTGGGAGAGCATCTTGCAAGTGAATCCATCAGACACAAGCTGACTAATTGCTTCCCTAAACTTGAGATAATCATCAATTGTGTTGTAAACCTGATGAGAAATACGAGCATAACCCGTTATACAACTATTTTCATGCCTAACAACAATATCGCCACCATCTTTTGGTGCCTGATGGTAGTGTATTGGAACTTCCACTCGAAAATGATCCCGCAAATGGGTTCTCAACTTCAAGGCATCATCATCACTAAAAATCCCTAAGCTAGCAGGCAAGCCAACCATTGCCATACTGGGACACATATCCGGAGGTGACCCGAGACTAGTTTCCCAAGCCTTGGCTAGCAATTCACCCATTTCAACAACAGCATCATGATTCCTCTTGGCAATCCCTTCAATACCACCTTCAAACCTATTAATGAAATCTAAAACGTCCGGAACGACAAGCTGTGAGCTATAGTCCCTTGTCCCAATCCACGCACTCTCCGCAGCCAGTCCATTCCCATATTGATGTGAAACCACAGGATGGTGCAAATCAGAGGATACTGATGATTTTCTACAATACAAAAATGCCACTGAAGGTGGGCAGAACAACCATTTATGCAAATTACTAACATAAAAATCAGCCCCAATTTCTTTCACATCGACATGAACACTGCCAATTGCGTGGGCAGCATCGACGAAAACATGATCCACACCTTCTTCCCTACAAATCCGAACCAATTCACGAACAGGAAGCACCACAGAAGGCATAGATGTAATATGATCAATTATAGCTAACCTAACCTTTCTAGTTCTACCGCCATTGCCTTTACCTCTAGCCAAACCTCGACGAAACTCCTCGATGATTTCTTCGTCAGAATGAACAGGAAATGGAAGGTGAACTTCAATGACGGAGCCACCGGCGCGAGTGACGTAGGCCTGAATAGATTTCTTGACGGCCTGGAAGGCGCAGTGGAGGATGACGACGGCGTCGCCGTTCTGGAATCGGCGTTCGGCGAAGGCGCAACCGATGTGGCGGAGGACGATGGCGGCGGCGGTGGTGGCGTTGTCGACGATGGAGACTTCGTCGAGGTGGTCGGCATTGATGAGGTTCTTGATTACGGTGCGGGAGTGGAGGATGCCGTTGTGGAGGTGATTGAAAAAGAAGGCGTCGGGTTGGTGGAGGAATTTGACCTGCCACCGTCGCTGGGCGGCGATGATGGAAGAAGGGCAGCTTCCGAAGCTGCCGTTGTTGATTCGGGCGACGCCGGTTTGGTGGTGAGCGAACTCGGTTTGGATTTCGGAGGTGGTTATGAAAGATGAGAGCTTGGGCTTCTTGGAGACGTGGTTGTTGTTGGTGGTGTCACAGTCGTGAGTAGCTTGGCCGTTGGTGGTGGTGGTGGTGTTGTCGCAGTCGGGAGGATCATCCATGGTAGGGGAGGGTAGGGTAGGGATTAGTGCTTTTTAGGGTTTCAGAGTGTTCGATTTGATCCAACTGCGGTGAGTTTAATGGCGTGGTGGCTCTCAATAGTGTACTAAACCGTGCATAATTTAAGAAATTTTTAATATTTATAATCAGCGATATTATATGTATTAATTAATATATATATATATATTAATATATTAATTAATATTATGATATTATTATTGATTATATTTATTATAGGGCAAATTACATATACACCCCTCGAGGTTTGGCTAAATTACAGATACCTCCCTGAGGTTTCGGAAATTACATCCCGCCCCCTGAGGTTTGTATTTTCATAACAATTTGCCCCCTGAGGTTTATATTTCATAACAAATTACCCCCTAATTTCTTATGCAAATATAGCATTCATGGGGGAATTCGTAATTTCTCAAACCTCAGGGGCATCTGTAATTTAGCCAAACCTCGAGGGGTGTATATGTAATTTGCCCTTTATTATATAAAGAGTAAATTACAAACACCATCTCGAGTTTTGATAAAAATACAGATTTCTCCTTGAGATTTGAGGAATTACAAATTGTCCCCTGAGGATTAAATTTTCATAACAAATTAGGAGAAATTAGGGGGGAATCTGTATGAAAATAAAAATCTCAGGGGGCAATTTGCTATAAAAATATAAATCTCAGGGGGCGGGATGTAATTTCTCAAACTTCAGGGGGAATCTGTATTTTCACCAAATCTCGAGGGGGTGTTTGTAATTTGCCCTTATATAAATTATAATTATTCAAAATCATATAAATAATGTCACATCATCTATTAATATACTAGTGTATACATTAATTGGTACATATTGTAATTTATATAATGAGTGAGGTTAATAATAATATCATAATTAGTGTTGGTATATTAATTAGTATAGTAATTGGTGTATGTAGTACAATCAATAAAATAATAATAATATTATATGTACTACTTAATGTATTAATTAATATATTAATAGATGATATTGTATAATTTTAATGATTTTAAATATTTATAATTTATATAATAGATAAGGCCAATAATAATAATATAATATTAATTAATATATATAACACCATTAATAAAAAAAATATTACATTTGATCATGCAGTGGAGAAATATGCTTCTGCATCAGATGTCCGAATTAGGGAAAAATTAGGGAAAGGGCAGGGGTCAATTTTGATAACTTCAAACAGAGATGGTAGTATATATGATTATTTTGGAAAGTGGGTTAGTTTTTTAATTTTTTGACTTTTTTAGTTTGGGGGGTTAAAAAGCCTCTTTTAGAAAGGACTTTTTAATTTTTTTCACTTTTTGCGAGAGAAAGAATGTAATGATTATGAGTTGAATCATGTGATATTTTGTCTTATTAGGCTAAAAAATCTATTTTGTCTTCTTTTGAGTAGCCCCAAACTCACCCAACCCATTTTCCCCAAACAAAGCCATAATCTTATCCCGATTTTTTTTTTTTGTTTATTTGTAACCTAATTTAATGTAGGGGATCGTGTGCATGCTATTGTGGACAAGATCAATAAAAAATAATTAATATCATTAAATTAAATAATGTATGTGATTACATGTATGTAATATTGGTTATATTAAAAGACTAGTGTATGGCCCATGCCTAAAGTCACAGTGTAAATAATATTGGAATTAAAATGCAATTATAATAAAGGCACGGTCTTTTTTTGATAAAGATATTAAAAAAATATAAAGAAATATTATTCTTCTTAAGAACTTGTAACAATTTTGTTTGTACCACATGCTGTACAGAACTTAAATAAAATAACAACTCTCCTTAACCTTAATGCAAATTAAGAAACAAACATATAAGTTTTATGGTGTTCAAAAAAACATAAGTTTTATAAAGTTTACCACTATTGCAAATCAAAATATGAGCAAGTAAAAAAAATTTATAAACACTAAACAAAATACAAAATCAAAGCTATTGTGTACTCATTAACATTCTATAACAAAAAGAAAAAAATTACTAAACACCACATAAATCACACAAGCAAATGCTCTGCAATTTCAACAAATTAAATTGAAAACAATGTATACCAACCTGTACTCTACAATTCTAAACAAATCAAATATATTAAAAAAAAAATATGAAATGCCAAACAATGCACACCAGCCAGTGCTCTGCAATCTAAATAAAAATAAAAATGCACACCAGCTAGTACTACGACTGTCAATCAAATTATAACCATATAAGCAAAACAAACATTATATTGCCATACACCTGAGCCGATAATATATGTATACTTTACAAAAGAATGGGAAAAATCTTTACAAAAGATGTGTTTACTTCATAAAAAGTGGGTGTATGCTTTACAAAAGATGTGTCGATAATATGTCTTCAAACATGTGTTTACCCAAACTTCCTCCTCAATACTTTCTAAAAAGTCTTTGTATCAACTTGTATGTATCCCCAATGAGGAACATGCACAACAATCTGGTAATTTGTGGAAGCAAAAAAAATATAGATTAGTACATTTGTTGAAAAAATATATATCAAAATACTTTGAAATTGAAATTTCCTTATTACATTAAGTGGGTTTACCAATGCCTATATAATTTTATCTATACAATTGGTGCATAATTTCAATAATATTTTCACCCGAACCTAAAGGCACTCTCCTCCCAGCCACTCATGCAGTTTGAAAGGCATATATGGTGTACATCCAAACCTAAGTCGAGTAAATCCATTCTTTGATCCAACTTACCCAAATAAATTGTCAACAAAAATCATCGCATTCATATAATGGTTGAATGTGGCTAAACCAAAGAGTTATTACAAAGATGATTAATGTAAAAAGTCATCAATTACATTAACTAAAACAATTTTAAAAATAAAATTGTTGCCCCAAAAATTGGCCAAAGATAAAAGGATTTGAAAGTCGTTCAATAGCCATTCTAGTATCAATACCTGGAAAAAAAAAGAAGAAAAATAATAATAAAGTTAGATTAGATGGATTAGAGCAAAAAATCTAATTAGGAGAAAAAATGCCTAATGTTCAGTATTTTCAAATCAATGTCACATAGTATGTAATAAAATTTCTTACTGCTCAAAAGCATCTATTATTTATCAGACACCACTTGCCATCACACACAGTCCAACTCACTTTCTTCACATGTTTCCTTGTCAAGTTTTACTACCTTTACTATGTACTTGACAAAAAAAATGAAAACACATGTTTTCTTTTACTAACTAAACCAGGCAAGAAAAACAATGGGACACAAAAGCTCTACACCACGATTTTGTTGTCCTCATATTCCAAGAGATTAAAAAAGAAAAGACAGAAATAGAGACGAAAAAAGTACTTGTAACTTAAATAAAATGTAAATTTATAAATCCCAATTCAACTGAAACACATGCATAACCAATTTAAGAGAAAATTAGACATTACTTTTTATTTTGACAATAGGGGACTCCAAAACTTAGCACAAAGTTATTTCCAAACTAACTCAAAATTTACCAATGTATATTGTTTTAAGAAAGGCATTTATTTTGTTACTAAGATTAGTCTGTGCGTTCACCAAAAACAAAAAGAGATTTTTCTATGTTTATCTTCCCTTTTTATTTATTTTTTCAATTTTTTCAATCCTCATTATGCACATTTTCTTTTTGGTTTAAATCTTCAATACATACTCCCAACAATCACCAAAATATGTAATGGCCAAGCCAACACTGTTATGGGGGGAAAAGAAATCTAGTGTACAGTGCATGAATCATTCAAATAAGCCATTCTATTAGGTTTCTCATAGGTCATACCAATTTATTTTATTTCATTCCACTACTTGAACATTCACCAAAACCATTCATAAAAAAGCTACAAAGACTATTACAACACCCTTTACTAAGCTCCATAAGAAAGACAGAAAGAAAGATTAAGAAAAATAATCTAGTGGAAAAAACAAATATCACGCCCTAAACCTGCCCCTAAAAGTTTGGGCATGACCTACTCAGAAACAGACACAAATTATGTTTACATAAACTATGGGGCCTGAACGGAAGCACTAAATATCATAAAATGACATAAAACAATGTCCATTGAGCTATCACTACTATGCCAGGATCACACGCATTGCATAAGGTAGATGAACATACAGTGACATGCATCTGAGAAATTAGCTATGTACATATTCATATACAGACCCAGCCCCATGATTGGGCATATAACAAAAACATTGGAGGGTAAGGGTTATATACATCAGTCAACTTTAGACAGACAAGTAGAGTACAAGCCAAAACTTAGCAAAACTCCATAAAATGCACGGGTTTCATCTAAGTGCCTGGACAGACTGAATGTTGACAAAAAAGAGACGATCATCAAGGGTTAAGGCTGACCTCCAGGTTGATTACCTACAGAAGCAGACAAAATATAGAGTGAGCCAGGCTCAATGAATAATAGTACGTAAACAATTCTATAATCAACTTGAATTACTATGCATATCAATGCGTATATAAATGCAGAGGACATATGATTAATCTGATTCTGTAATTATTTCCAGAACGGCCTTGGGCCCAGTTTTTGAACAGAGTGGCTTTAAGCCCAGAGTTATACAGAATGGCCTCAAGCCTCGCAGAGTTCACAAATTAGCCATAGGCCTCACAGAGTTCACAGATTGGCCTCTGGCCCAGATATCAACAGAGCAGAGTGTTTCTAGAGTGATACAGATGTACACAGATTCTTTTAACGTTTACATAAGTTCACACCAATTCCCGATCAACATACGTGTTAATGTCATTACTTGCGAAGATTAGAACATTAATAACAATAATTATTAACAGTAAATAAATGTACTTCTATAGTACTATTACTCACAGTGCTGTGGCGTAGCGATGGTTTCTCCTGGAGTGTGTCCTACTCACATAGATAATTCACAAATTAGTTCCTTTTTCTTTTAAATCATTTCCTGAGTCATTACGCTTCGAATGAATTTACAACCATTCTAAGATTATCAAGAAATTTTTTAATAATTTCAGAGGGTCGAGCACGAAAAACGGAGCAGGCAAATTTTTTCGGCCTGGGTCACACGTACGGCAGTCCCCTCCGCACGTACGGAAGT